TATCCTCGGGTCCGAGTTTGTAGAGAGAGGGATCAAGAGGGACTTAGTCAAAACAGCAAGAGTACCTTGAACGTCGCGCAGCGTATCGTGCAGACCGTCGATCGGATTAAGCTGAGAATTTCCTATATCGAAGCTCACTCTAAGAGCTTTAAAATAAGCCAAGTTGCCTCGCGAAAAGTTCTGCCATTACGAAGTTATGGCTCGGACAGCGTTAGCCTAGCGTTCGAGTGCTAGCGTTCTAGCGTTGACTCGGGTAGCATTCCGCCGTCGCACCGCGTAGAAAAGAAATTCCAGCAAGGAAGGAATTCGCTTGAATCAATTTCACTATATTCAGGTACAAACAGAGAAGGAATAAATAGCTCTAGCTAGCAAGGACCTTGGGAATCAACCTGGGAACAACCAGGGATGATCCCAAATAATTCCAAGCAACAGAACCAACCTGGCTGGACAAAATAGCAGGTGGTAGGTTGGTGGACAACCTCTGGTTCTGTTTTTCCAACCTGGGAAAACAACAACCAGGTTCAGGTCCTAAAAACAGAACCTGTTTTGTCTTTGCCCAACCAGCCAAATGCTGGTTCCGCTGGTTTCCCCTGGCCCTGTAGCATGCAGATACAGACAAACAACATCCAACCTTCACCTAAATTGTACCCCTATAGTGCCTGCCCTGCTACACTATAGTCAACCAAACAAAACAGTACAATTTCGAGTTGGATAGAACTGAATCTGCGCAATCAAGTAAGTTGAACCGCAAAGCTTCCATCTTGGGTTCCTTTGCGAGCTCGTCCATTCTGCTTGTACTGTTCATAGCGCGTACAATGTTATGCCGAAGCGCACATTTTGCGAGTACCTGCAAATGCTTCAAGCGAAAATTGCGAAAGCAAACAAACACACAAGCATACCATTCACACGCAAATGCATTCGCACACGCATACTCGTACAAACAGACGGCAGGATGTCGTGCAATGTGAATTTGCACCCAACATTACGTAGAACTTGTTTTTCCGCAGGATCTCGAACACCTTCCGCAGATGCTCCACGTGCTCCTTCATGTTCTTGGAGTAGATGAGAATGTCGTCCAGGTACACCACCACGCATTCGTCCAGCAGGGGTCGTAAGATGTGATTCATCTCCGCCTGAAACGTTGCTGGTGCGTTGCAGAGTCCGAACGGCATCACCAAGTATTCGTAGGAGCCGTATCTGGTACGGAACGCTGTCTTGTGGACGGAGTTGTCTGCCATCTTGATCTGCCAGTAGCCCGATCGTAGGTCCAGCTTCGAAAATACTGTTGCTCCACGCAGTTGATTGAGTAGGTCGTCTATGCGCGGTATGGGATATTTGTTTTTGACTGTCTGTTTGTTCAGTGCGCGGTAGTCGATGCACATCCGTAGACTGCCGTCTGGTTTTGGAGTGAAGAGAACTGGTGCGCCGTAGGGAGAGGTGGATGGGCGGATCAGTTGTCTGTCCAGTAGATACTCTATCTGTTTTTTCATGTCTGTCAATTTAGTCGGACTCAGTCGGTATGGTGCACGTGAGACGGGTTTCGCACCTGGTTCCTCCACGATCTCGTGCTCGTGGGTGCGTGCTGGAGGTACGCCTGCAGGTAGGTCGTCGGGCATTATATCCTTGTACTGCTCCAAGACCTCTTTCACTGCTGCAGGTAGCTCGGAACTCGGCTTCTCCTCCTCTGCTGCTGCCATAACCAGTGCTAAGTAACCCGTGTTACTCTTGTTCACCGTCTGTTCTAACCGTGCCAGTGTCGTTTCAGGTACGTCCCCTGTATCCGTCCAGCTTCGCAGCTCCACTCGTTTCCCGTTGTTGTAGATGCACACCTTGCTGTTGACCTAATCGATCTCGGGGTTGAACTGCTTCAGGAAATCTCGCCCCAAGATAAAATCTAATCCTTTGATGTTGGTGACTGGTAGCTTCGGCTTCCACCTCAACGCACCTATATGCAGTTGCAGTGATGCTTCGCCGTGGATAGGAAGCTTCGTACCGTCCACCATGGTCGCTGAAAACTGGGTCTCTTCCGCCTTCTCTCTAATTTTCTCCAATGCTCCGCGGTCACACACCGAGTGAGATGCACCGCTGTCCACCAGTGCCTGGAGGCGTCGCCCATTGCATAACACCTCGAGTAGTGGTTTCTGCTGCGCTGAGTAGCCAAAGAGGGTCTCGTTAATAGGATCATAGGGTACATCAAACTTAATACCTTCCCTTTTTCCTATACCTGACTCAGCGCTTTCCAACTTCACCTGGGGGGTAGGAGGATTTTTCCGAGGCTTGTATAATTTCTCCTGAGCCTGGATGTCTCCTCTAAGCCTTGGCAGCTGTGTAGGCTTCACCTGTGGGCGACGGGGAGACTTAACACTGTGCTGCGGGGAGAGAATATTAACTCCACGGAACGCACGACCCTTTTCTACGCTCCGTAGTACTTTGCCCAACTTCTCAGGTACCTGAATAATTTCTAAAGGCTTTTTCTTGGCCTCTAGACCTCCCCTGAATTTTTTGAAGGCTTGTAAACCACGAGAAGCAATATTCTTCGTTAGAGCATCTTTATAGGATACTTTTAACGAATTCTTACTTTCGTGGGTGTTCGGCTGGAGTTTCCCGGTCGGTGCAGAGTCTTTTTTCGCGGAGCCTCCATTCGCCTCGGCGATTTCCCCTGATGCCGGCCGGTCGTGACGTTTTAAATTCGCGCCATCATTTTCTCCTTTTTTCACCCGCTCCGAAGTCGCCACGTCGTTGCCTTTTCCTGCTTTTCGGATCTTTACGCGATCGCCAGGTCGATCCGCGGCTACTGGCGATTCCCGTTTTTTTACTTCGGGGGTGCTCCACTGTCTTCGTCCCGGAGTGCCGCATGTGCTTTCTTCATTTTGTAGCACGACAAAAATTGATGTCCTGCTGCGCCGCAAAATTCGCATTTTGTCGGCTGCTGCTTCGCGTCGTTTTTGTCGATATCCATCGGTTCCGCGAACGTGGGGGGTGCCGATCGCTCCGTGCCGAATGTACGGTTCGGCGTGAAGCGTCGTGTTTCGGGTTGACTTCGAGTCAGCGCGTCGTATCGCTCGGCAGCACGCACGATGTCTTTGTAGCTGTTGTAATTCGCCGCAATCACCTGCCGCCGAATCTCCATTTTTAACCCTTCGGTGTACGCCTGGATTTTTCGCCTGTCAGGTCAGTGATGCGGTTGAACAGTAACTCCATCTGCTGTGTGTACTGTGTTACACTACTGTATTGCTTGTGTCGGTGTATCTGCTGCCGCGCCATGTAGGTTGTATTAATTGGTTCGAAACGCTCGATTAAATCTGCCCGAAACTGCTGCCACGTTTTCTCCCCGCGGGCTACGTCGGTGTAGTAAATCCATTCGAGAGCCGGTCCACGTAACAGTGTCGCTGCGAGCCGAATCCTTGCTGCTTCGTGTTGCGGGGTCGAACAGCCAATGGCCTCGAAGTAAATTTCGAGGGTGGCCACGAATCGCCGGACGTCGGATCCCTTCGCACTTGGATCGAACGCCTCCGGGAGCCTCGGTCGTGCTGCTTCGAGGTTCGGGGACAGTGGTGCCATTGGTCCGTGAAATGTCGGTGTCGCCACTGCTGCTGGAGTTGTCGGTGCTGCAGTCGCTGTGATCGCTGCTGCTGCGGTGGCGAACCCTGGTTGGCTTGTCAAAAAAGCCTCGAGTCGACGAACCGTCGCCTGCGTCTGCTCCATGTCGGTGCGGAGGCTCGCGATGTCGCTCGTAGTCGCGTAGTTGTCGCCTTGGCTCTCCATTTGGTGATTTACAGGAACATGCGCGACGAAAAGAATCGAATTCTAGGTGCTGGTCGCCTTACTGCGAGTCAAATTGACTGTAAAATCGACGAGCGCGAATTCTGTAGGTTGCGTAAATCTCCCTTAGGCGAAATTCGCGTCCGATCTCGGCCGTTGAGGAGAAAATCGATCCGACGCTCCAAATTCCAACTTCTTTGGGCGAAATTCTCTGGGCCGTTGAGATGAAACTCGATCGAACGGTCGAAACTCCAACCTTTCCACCGGTAAATCTGAGGGGTGTTCGAAAACCGAATCGAGGGGGACTTAGAAAAATTGCGCGGAACTGGTTTTACATACCCGTATCGGCGCTTTCGTCGTCGCCCCCGCGGTTTTTAAAGGCCGGAACTAAGCGGTTGAAGACCTCGCGTGTAAACCCGCTCTGATTACCAAGTGTGAGGATACGGGATCGAGCTCAGAAAAGATGATTCAAATTGAATTGAATTGAATTGAATGTCCACCTGGGTACAACACGAGGCTATATATAGGCTCGACACAAGGCCCCGTAACCAGGTGTTACGCGAAGGTTCCGCGGGTCACGAAGCGTCCCGAACAGATCCTTACCGAATTCGGTAGAAGGCAATTCGGTGGCAACCGAAAAGCCAGAATTCGGTGCACGCAACCTAGCTCGGTGCTATAACTATAATAAAATATAGGAAAGCACCTAGCCTAGGAAATCAAGCAATTCATGCATGCATATAAATATCCTATGCTAGAAATAGCATGATAAAGTAGAGGCAAGCAAGCATAGCTGGCATAAGCCGTCGTACTCTCACAAGGGTGTTCACCAGTTCACCCCTGCCTACGAGCGCGTGACACACTGCACGTGTGCTCGTACGGGCCGTCACTTGGCTACCTTCACTCGGCAGCCGGGGTCGGACCTGTACACACTGACTACTGAGTCCCCTCAGGTTGCTGCGACTGCGTCCGCGTCCGCGTCAGGTCAGCTGTCCGCCCCCTGCTCGTGTCGCTCTTTGGCACACGAGACTGTCCTCTGGCACCACCGCCTTGGCCACCCGTCTGTGCAGCGGCTTCGTGCCATGCACTCCCGGTACCTTGTCTCTGGCCTGCCCAGGGTCCTTCCTGCCCTCCCACCCTCGCCTGCTCCTACCTGCCTCCCCTGTGTCGAGGGACGGCAGCGCGCCGCTCCTCACTCCTCCTCGTTCCCCCCGACGATTGCTTTCTTGCAGACACTCCACATGGACATGTGGGGCCCAGCCCGCGTCCGTGGTCAGGGTCAGGAGAGGTACTTCCTGATAGTTGTTGACGACTACTCGCGCTACACCTCGGTCTTCCCCTTGCGCACCAAGGGTGAGGTCCCTAATGTCTTGATCCCTTGGATCCGCAGAGCACGTCTCCAGCTCAGTGAGCGTTTTCACTCGGACTTTCCTGTCCTGCGCTTGCACTCAGACAGAGGTGGTGAGTTCTCCTCCGACCTCTTGGCAGCCTACTGTGCTGAGCACGGCATTGAGCTGTCATTAACGCTTCCGGCTTCTCCACAGCAGAATGGGGTTGCGGAGCGCCGTATTGGCCTGGTCATGGAGGTCGCCCGTACCTCCTTGATCCATGCGGCTGCCCCCCACTTTCTGTGGCCGTTTGCGGTCCGGTACGCTGCGCATCAGCTCAACCTCTGGCCCCGTGTCTCCTTGCCGGAGACCTCGCCCACGCTGCTGTGGACGGGGGAGGTTGGCGATGCGTCGCGTTTCCGGGTCTGGGGGTCTCGAGCTTTTGTCCGCGATATGTCTGCGGACAAGCTCTCCTCCCGTGCTGTTCCCTACGTCTTCCTCGGCTTTGTCCCGGACGCGTCTGGTTGGCAGTTTTACCACGCCACCTCGCGCCGAGTCTTGCCCTCCCAGGACGTCACTTTTGACGAGTCCGTCCCCTACTACCGCCTCTTCCCCTACCGCACTGCCCCGCTCCCCCCCCCGCCTCTCTTCCTCGCGCCAGGTGCTGCTGTTGCAGACCCCCTCCCCCCTCAGGGTGCCGCTCCCTCAGGTGTGTCTCAGGTAGACCTGGTTGAGCCTGTTGAGGTAGCTGTCGACTCTCGTCCTGCTGGGGGTGCTCAGCCTGGGGGTGCTGAGCCTGGGGGTGTGGAGCCTGGGGGTGTGGAGCCTGGGGGTGTGGAGCCTGGGGGTGTGGAGCCTGGGGGTGTGGAGCTTGAGGGTGCTGAGCTTGGGGGTGTGGAGCCTCGTGGTGCTGAGCTGCGGAGTCTGGAGTCTGGGGGTTCTGAGTCTGGAGGTACTAGGCCTGGGAGTCCTGCACCTGGAGGAGCCCTCTCCTCGGAGCAGCTGCGTGCGTGGTACTTAGAGTACTGCAGCCTCCGGAGAGGTACCGCTCGAGCCGGACGTACTACTGGGACTGGTGCTAGTGCTTCTTCTCCCGTTCGGGAGCTCCCCTCCCGCGAGCGGATCCGTGAGTGGTACGAGCGGCGCTGCACTCTTCGGAGTGGCGTGCCTCGTGTTACGGACCCCGCTGCTGTTGGAGCTGCTGCTGGTGCTGAGGACCCGGGCGTTGGAGCTGCTGCTGGTGCTGAGGACCCGGGCGTTGGAGCTGCTGCTGGTGCTGAGGACCCGGGCGTTGGAGCTGCTGCTGGTGCTGAGGACCCGGGCGTTGGAGCCGCTGCTGGTGGTGAGGACCCGGTCGTTGGAGCTGCTGCTGGTGCTGAGGACCCACGCGTTGGAGCTGCCGCTGGTGCTGTTGGTGTAAGGGCCTAATAAACTCAAGCTATTAAGACTTTATCACACTTAAAACCTCTCCTCGGGGTCACCTCCAAGGGTCCTTGGGTGCCTGGTACAAGACCAGCCCCTATCCTCGGGTCCGAGTTTGTAGAGAGAGGGATCAAGAGGGACTTAGTCAAAACAGCAAGAGTACCTTGAACGTCGCGCAGCGTATCGTGCAGACCGTCGATCGGATTAAGCTGAGAATTTCCTATATCGAAGCTCACTCTAAGAGCTTTAAAATAAGCCAAGTTGCCTCGCGAAAAGTTCTGCCATTACGAAGTTATGGCTCGGACAGCGTTAGCCTAGCGTTGGAGTGCTAGCGTACTAGCGTTGACTCGGGTAGCATTTCGCCGTCGCACCGCGTAGAAAAGAAATTCCAGCAAGGAAGGAATTCGCTTGAATCAATTTCACTATATTCAGGTACAAACAGAGAAGGAATAAATAGCTCTAGCTAGCAAGGACCTTGGGAATCAACCTGGGAACAACCAGGGATGATCCCAAATAATTCCAAGCAACAGAACCAACCTGGCTGAACAAAATAGCAGGTGATAGGTTGGTGAACAACCTCTGGTTCTGTTTTTCCAACCTGGGAAAACAACAACCAGGTTCAGGTCCTAAAAACAGAACCTGTTTTGTCTTTGCCCAACCAGCCAAATGCTGGTTCCGCTGGTTTCCCCTGGCCCTGTAGCATGCAGATACAGACAAACAACATCCAACCTTCACCTAAATTGTACCCCTATAGTGCCTGCCCTGCTACACTATAGTCAACCAAACAAAACAGTACAATTTCGAGTTGGATAGAACTGAATCTGCGCAATCAAGTAAGTTGAACCGCAAAGCTTCCATCTTGGGTTCCTTTGCGAGCTCGTCCTTTCTGCTTGTACTGTTCATAGCGCGTACAATGTTATGCCGAAGCGCACATTTTGCGAGTACCTGCAAATGCTTCAAGCGAAAATTGCGAAAGCAAACAAACACACAAACATACCATTCACACGCAAATGCATTCGCACACGCATACTCGTACAAACAGACGGCAGGATGTCGTGCAATGTGAATTTGCACCCAACACACTCCCCCTCAGCCTGCCGGCTGCATCCCCATCATTCCATACTAGTTCATGCTCATTCCACTCATGCGCACACAACGCCAATGAGACTCATCCGCAAGCCTCTTGGTGAGGAAGTCTGCTGGCTGCTGGTGAGTCTTGATGTAGATTGGATTCACCGTCCCCCTCTTCACCTCCTTACGCAGCCAGTGCCACTTGATACGCATGTGCTTATTCAGCCCATGAAGCACAGCGTTCCTGGCCATCCCAAGAGCTCCCTTGCTATCACAAAAGAGCGGCGTAGCAACCTTTTGCTCCTGGCCAATCTCCTCCAACAGCCTCCTCAGCCAAATCACCTCCTTCACCCCATGGAACATCGCCATGTACTCTGATTCCACGGAAGAGAGTGCTGTCTCCGTCTGCTTCTTTGACCTCCAACTAACCGGTCCTCCCCCAACTACGCAGATGTATCCTCCCACAGATGAGGAATCCTCCTTCTCAGAGGCCCACGTAGCGTCAGTAAAGCAAGTGAGAAAAAGCTTGCCTTCTCCAAGCCTCTCCCCCTTCTCTTTCAGCACCTCAACCCCTTTCTGCTTCACCTGTGCAGATGCGGAGTATTGAACTCCAATGCTTGGGTGAGAGTTCAGATACTTCACCACACGCTCAGCTGCATCCACCTGCTCCTCTGATGGATTCTGCACTACCCTAGCCAGCTGCCCAACCGAGAAAGAGATGTCGGGTCTCGTGTGAACTGCTGCATACAAGAGGCTGCCCACCAAGGACTGAAATTGGTGCTGCTCCTCGGCTTCAACCCCTTCATCCTCTGCAGCTTTCACAAGCCTGAATTCTGCTGGCAGGGGAGTTGCAACCTTGCGCTCATTCTCAATTCCGTACTTCTCCCCAAGCTCCTTGATGAACTTCTCCTGGTGCAGCTTCAACCACCTGTGATCCAGATCCCTCTCCACGTGCATCCCGAGGTAGTACTTTACCTCCCCAAGGTTCTTGCACTTGAAGTTCTCCATCAGCTGCTGCTGCACCTTCTGGATCTCCTTCATGCTGCTGCTAAAGAGAAGAATGTCGTCCACATAGACCAGAAACAGCACCAGCTTCTCCCCCTCCCCCTTGAGAAAGAGGCTCTCATCACAGCTGCTGGTCCTGAATCCCATCTCCTCTAAAACAGCTGCCAACTTCTGGTACCAGCAGCGTGGCGCCTGCTTCAAGCCGTAGATGGACTTTTTCAGCTTGCACACCCTGCCCGTACCATCCTCATACCCAGGTGGCTGCGTCATGAACACCTCCTCCTCTAAAATCCCGTTGAGAAATGCCGTTGATATGTCCATCTGGAGAATGAACTTCCCACTAACGGCTGCATCTGCCAACAAGACACGAAGGGTAGGGGGTTTGGCAGTGGGAGCAAAGATCTCATTGAAGTCCCGCTTCTCCTTCTGCATAAACCCCTTAGCCACCAACCTACTCTTGTAGATGGTGACCTGCCCCTTGTCGTCAGTCTTGATCCTTAGCACCCACTTGCATTGTACCGCTTTCTTTCCCTCAGGCAGCACCACTAGTTCCCAAGTCCCATTCTCCAGCAGGCTCTGGTACTCAGCATCCCTGGAAGCTAGCCATTTGTCCCTATCTGGTCCAGCTAATGCCTCCTCCATGCTAGCTGGTTCCTCTGGTGCAGGGGCAAGAAAACAGTACGCAGGCTCATCCTCCTCATCCGGGTCATAGCCATGTGGTAGAATCAGCAATGCCTCCTCGGTCCCAAGCTGCTGCTCCGCTACATCAGCTCCTGCAGTCAGCTTCTTAGTAGCCATACGGGTACGTCCTGGCCTGGAGACGGGTGTCTCCCATCCCTTCATAATAACACCCTTCGGCTTCTTAGTTTTCCCCTGCTGCTGCTCTCCTCCCTCGGATCCAGCAGCTCCACTAGTGCTACCGCTAATCTCCACACCATCACCTCCACCAGCAGGTGCCTCCTGCACCTTCTCTTTATCACCACCCTCTGCAGCTGCCTCCTCTCCCTCCTCCCACACACTAGGAGTCAGGTCCAGCTGCATGGTAATCTGCTCCATCTGCTGGGACACCCTGGCCTCCGGCTGTTTCTCCCAGCTCCCATACATCATGCCCTCAACAAACTTCACATCCCTGCTGTCAAACAACACACCCTTGGAAGGCTCCCACAGCAGCCATCCCTTGCTCTCAGCAGCCAGCCCCAAATGCACACACCAGATTGCACTCGCCCCCAACTTACTGCGGTAGGTCTTGGGAACGTGGGCGACTGCCATGCAACCGAACACCCTCAGCATGTCCACCGGCGGCTTCCTCCCAAGCCACCTCTCCAACGGCACCCACGAGTCATCCCCAACCTTTGTGAGTACCCTGTTCCTAGCGACGGTAGCGTGCCGAACAGCATGGGGCCACATCAAGTTGCCCAGCCCAGATTCTATGAGCAGCGCCCTAGCTGTCTCCAGAATTGTCCGGTTCGCCCGTTCTGCTACACCGTTGGACTGTGGGGTGTAAGCCGTGGTCAGCTCCCTCTGGATGCCCTGCTTCTTGAGCCAGGCCGTCATGTCAGTTCCAAGGAACTCACCACCCCGATCTGTCCTAATCCGCTTCACCACACACTCCGCTTGCTTCTCCACGAACGGCAGCCAATCGTCCCGAATCGTGGAGGCGGCGTGATCTTTCTGCTTCAGCGGATACGCCCACATTAGCCTGCTCCAGTCATCCACTATGGTTAGGAAGTACCGCTCCCCCTTGTGCCCTTGCACCGGCAGCGGCCCCACCAAGTCCATGTGGACCAGCTCCAACGGCTTTTTGCTCCTGCCAGCCACACTATGGAAGGGGAAACGGGTGAACTTTGAAAGGAGGAAAATTTCACAGTTATCATCGGGTGGTTGTCCGTTCAGCTTTAAGCCCTTAACGGCTCCATCCTTCTCCAGCTGCTTCAGCAAAGGCATTGCCACATGCCCCAAACGTCGGTGTGCAGTTGCCCAATCTGTCTCCCCAGATCTGGCCGACACTTTCACACCAACCCCTCCAACGGCGTTGCACTCCCCCTGGGATGCAGACCCCTCTCCAGCCTGCCCCCCACCGTGCCACGCCAGCGCCGGCAGCTGCCACATAGATCTGTACACGTCCTTGCTCTCGTGCAGATCCCAAAGCACCCGATTGCCCAGCTTCCCCTTATAAGTGCGAGCCCCATCCGTGTTGGTGTTCACCCCAGCCTTGCCAAGCTTACGGAGGGAGATGAGGTTGGCCTTCAGGTCGGGGACGAGGAGAACGTCGTGCAGCACCACCGGCTTGCCATCCGCTCCCTTAAATGCAGCTCGTCCCGCACCAGCCACCTTCAACATGTGTCCAGAGGCAGAGCACACCTCATTAATCGGGGCAGCGCGTACGTCGTCCAGCAGGTCCTTGCGCGGCGTCATTGTCCAAGCAGCGCCTGTGTCCAACACCCAATAGTCCAGGGGGTGCAGCTCTGCTCCAGCCTTAGCAGATGCGTCTCCTTGCTCCCCCTTGTCTCCCATATGGAAGAATTGGCCTGCGGTGCGCTCCTTCTTCTTCTCCGCACCGCCGTTGCCCTTCGGGTTGTTGTCGGACGAATCAGCGACCATGTTGGCGCCGTTTTTCTGGTTCCTCCGCGCGCCGCCATCCTGGTGACGATTCTGGGGGGTCCATCCATCGGGTTTCTTATAGCACAAAAACCAGGGGTGCCCTTCCTTCTCACAATACCAGCAACTCCCTTTCATTTTGCCACCAGCACCCGACTTGCCCCCACGTCCAGATTTCGCACCGCGACCCCAACCGGTACCTCCTTGTTGGTCGTTGGAGTCGTCGTCTTTCTTTGCACCGCGTCCAGCACCACCGAAGCCACGTCCTTTGCCACGTCGGCTCCCTTGCATCCCGTAGCCGCTGCTGCCGTCGTCTCCACCCCTCAGTTGGC